TACATTTAGTTTTATTTTGGTGTTTCACTGATCTAACTGCATTTTCACTGTCCATTTGATTTAGCTTATAATAGATGTAGCATTGCCACACAGCATGTTGTAGCTTACAGTAATGATATGTGTGTAAGATGTAATGCTTCACACTACGGATGTACTGTGATTACTGGATGAGTAATAAGAATTATTTTGTCGATTCAGCCCAGCAAAGCAGTAGTGTAGCAGAGGAGGAGGAGAATGAGGAAGAGGAGGAGGAAGAAGAGGAGGACGACATCCAGCCTGCTTCCCCAGAATCAGGGACGAGTGGCGAGAGCGGAAGCCAAGAGCCGCTCCGGGTGACCCGCAGCCAGCCAACTCCAGTGAAGAAGTCAGGTAGGACGAGCAATACATTCTCACAAAGATCAGAGCTACACCATCAGTCGACTAATTGGTACGATTATCAACAGAAACATATTTATTTTTAAAGAATTGATGAATTGTAATGCAAAAATGTCCGAAAATGCAGTTTTACTCCTCTCAAATAAGAGACCGTGGACTTTGAGGAACTGTGATGGATATTTCCCACAATTTTCGGACATTTTATAGACTGAACAATCTTAATTATTTGTTAATAAAATAATAATAGTAATCAAAGTTGCAGCAAAAACCACAAATGTTTAGACGTCTTGTAATCTTTACCGTGACGTTAAAGCCTTGTGTTGTGTCGCATCAGGGCACAGGCGTAACCTTCATCTCAGCAACGGCTCCAGACAACGCCGCGGTCGAGAAGTGCCACAGGCCGCCGTCGATGACGATGATGATGATGATGATGAGGAAGAAGAGGGGGAGGTGGTAGTAGTAGCAGCAGCAGCTGTGTCTGGGCCCAACAGCTCCTCATCAGATTCATCCTCCAGCTCATCGTCCTCCTCTTCCTCGTCGTCGTCGGACAGCGAGAACAGCTCCGAGTCTGAGATGGAGAAGTTTGTCGAAGGCGGAGATCACGACTACAGCAAAGCCCCCTGCCTGTCGCTACGCCTCTCTGTTAAGGGTAAGGGGGCGGCATCAGGGAAAAGGAGACACAAAGGGGGAGGGGACGCGGCACAGGGACCTAAAAGGGCACGAGTGCAGCCACCAGTAGAAGAGGAGGAGGAGGATGCTGGGGAAGAAGAAGAAGAGGCGGAGGAGGAGGGTGGTGAAGAGGAGGAGGAGGATGTGGAGGATGGAGAGGTGGAGGATGGAGAGGTGGAAGAAGAAGAAGAGGAGCAGCAGCAGCAGCAACCGGTGGCTGTACAATATGTAGAGAATGAGGCAGAGGAGGATGAAGAGGAGGAGCCTGAGGAAGAGGAGGAGCCAGAGGAGGAGGAGGAGGAGGATCCCGATGGGGAGGAGGACGAAGCACAGGGAGGGGCTGTGGGAGCTAGCAGTCTGAAGGGCAGCCGGTGTAAGTCTCGCCGGGTGAGCACTCGTAACCAGGGCCGCAGGACAGTTCTGTACCGGGACGAGTCTGAGGACGACGGCCACGGGTCCAAGGAAGACCCCCTCAACCTAGGCCGGTCCCGCTCAGGGAGGGTCCGCAAAATGACCGAGAAAGCCCGCGTCAGCCACCTCATGGGCTGGACTCACTGACCTCAAGAGAAAAAAAACTGTCTAACATGAGTAATACTTCAGGGATTATTTTCTTTCTTTTGTACAAGTGTATATATAATATATAAATGACTCTTTCTTTTGATCCGAGACTGCTAATGACTCACACTGATCGCTGGTGCTCATGATGTGTTGCCATGGAGGAGTTTCCTCTCTCCACACTCTCCAGCTGGACTAACTCACCTCAGCCTTACTGCTCGCTGCTCCTCTTCCTCCTCTTGTGTGTTTCACGTCTAGGAATAAACACTACAGCCCCCTCTTCTCTTCCTCCTGGTCACCAAAGAAGGATGCGGTGATGCCAAATATGGTGCTCATATTTTACTTCTCTGTTGTTGTTTTTTTCTCAGCGAGTAATCAAGCGGAACTCTTCATGGTAGTGGTGGTTCGGACCATGGTGAGATGTGTGCAGTGTCACCGATGTCAACCTTTTTTGGTACTTTACTCACAACCACGAGCCTTAGTTTGAAGAGCTCACCTCATTCACATTTATTTCCATCTGTAGCTCAAGTGTAGTAGACACTAGCAATACTTCAGTGACTGCAGTCAGTAGAATACAGATCCACAGAAATATCCCAGCTCTCCTCGGACAATTTGACGTCCTTGGCCCGTGAATGTTTATTGTTTTCCCTGCTTCCCTCCTGGTGGTGTTGACTGTTTTATCGGTTCTTCAATTCTGCTAGAATTGGGTGCTTTTTTTTCTTTCAGTTTTTTATTTTTAAGGGAAAAAAGAGATTTTTTTTGGGGTAAAAAGCCACTGCATCCTGTTTTGGATTTGTCGTACTCCCTGGTGGATCAGACCCGCATCAGTTTATTCATGATTGCTTTCAATACAACTTCTCCATCCAGCATGTGCAAAAACAAAGGGTCCCTGGCGTACTCTCTTCCACAATAATATTTATTTTTCCATTGTATTATACTAAGGTTACTTTTTCGTACGTGATGAGGAAAATATTTGCACATTTATCTACACCTTGTGGCAGCTGAGTAGTAAAGATACTGGAGAAAGAGAAAGGATTATTGTGTAAGAATGTTGAAACTGTGCCAGGATACCTTCAGTCTTTTTAAAAAAAAATGTAATAGTTTGAACAATTAAAACAAAATGAACTTCTTTTAACCTGTGTGTGATAGAGCTAGTTGGCCACATTAATCATGCTTTCTATTGGCTTTAAGCAAAAGTATAGCAACTATTGATTAGCCCTAGTAGGTTGTGCCATTTAATCCCTCTTGTTTTATCCACCAATGGACTGATGGGTAGATCATATGCACATTATACTACCTTTTCCCACTACAATCAGGCATAATGTTGGTGTCAGAATCCTTTGTGTGGAGCTTTTCTGCATGGTTGATTCCTCATTTTGCAATCAGCACGTGTTTCTCATGGAATTGCATAGTATTGGATACCTTGTTGTTGCACCAATATTGTTTACTGTGGCCCTTGTTTGGTAAATCTTCTGACACATCAGGGGAAAAGCTGACTCACAAATTGTAATTTTTAACACTGGGTGCTCTAATCCAAACACCTCATCATTCATAGGAGAGGTTTTTTTTTTTTTTGTCTTGAGCTGAAGAGTTTGAGTTTCAGGTGCTCAGAAAAACACACAAATCAGCATCTAGGGTGCTCCAGGCGGCAGCATTACCCGCCTTCTTGGAATGACTTGCCGTTTGTGAGAAGACTGATTCATATTTTTGGGAATCTTATTTTCATATAGTAGCTGGCTCTTAGTCTCGCCTCGAAGCGTCAGATTAGTTGACTAAAACATTCTATTGTAGATGGAGTAAGAATATGTGACCTGTCTTTTATACAAAATGTTTTGATTGTAACTGTTTTCTTTTTTTAATAAAAAAACATGTAAAATGAATTTCTTGGTTTTGGTCTGCTGCTTTCTGGATGTTTGTGGTCGTTCTTTGATGATTTTTAACAGGGTTTTTCCCATCAAAAGCCGTTCCCCCAGCACTGAGTCATCTTTATAATCGCATGGTCATAAAACATGCACCGCAGGCAAATATTCAATAAGTACAAAATTCCGGCACTGTCTAGTGACTCCGATGGGTCGCCGCTAACCTGACTACCATTTTGATTCTGCATTTGCTGCATTAATGCACTAAGAGCTGGGGTGAGTAAGACGAGGAACAAACAAGGTTGAGCTGTGACTGACGCACCGAGCTCTGCCATACCTAGAAACTGCAGAGCCACTGGAGGATCATGGGAATTCAAATGGATCAATGCATAAAGTGATAAAGGTCACTTTAAGGGTTCTAAAGGGGCAAATCAAAGTGTATCACATCTTACTATAGTATTGATAACAAATGAGTTAATTAGCTTTTCTATTACACCAAAAACCACCTGACTACAAACAGGTCTTTAGTGATTACTTTACAATTATTATAGGAACCAGTAGCTATTAAAAGACTATGTGAAATTAAAAAGGCATATTTTTCACAAAGATGGGAATACCAACAGCAGATTTTTGGTTATGGCAGAGAATAGCCAGTTAATGTGTTTTTTTTATTAGCCATCTTTTTTTAAATTCAAATTAAACATATCATTAGATGGTCTATACTATGCATGCATGCAGAAAAGGTAGTGGAGTTTTTTTTGTTATCAGATCAGCAGTGGGATAATTAATTGTGTGAAAGTACAAATGAAGCATTATGGAACTCTGAACACCCACCTTCAAAAGACTCCAAATAGAAAGCTCTTTAAATAATTGCTTTTGAGCAAATGTCCCAAAAACATGGAGCTCAACCTTAGGATCTGGGGTAGGGGCAAACATGTTTATTATTTGTTATAAGTAATTTCACGAGTCTTTGCTGTGCGTAAGAACAGGGTATTCCTTCATTGTGTCAATAAGCATCAGGAGAGAGGGAGGCTGACAAAGCATGGAGCCTTTGAATAAAGCTGTATTACACACTACTAAAATGCTCATGCTTCAAACAGCAACAGGCTTTAACTGCATTCTTACTCGCTTGCTTTGTTTTGAAAAATGAATGCAATTCACGTTGAAATGCAAATGTAAGTGATATGTTTTGACTGAAGGCAGCAGCTTTTGAACCTGGCCTAATTAAAAGTCAACTTGTGTTGCATTTAGAGGAGAAATAAGGTTAAAAAAAACACATTTCAGAAAGAAAAGTGACTTGAAGTAATCTTGAGGATTTTCATTTACATAAATGCCTGTTAAGTCATAATCCTTCACCAAGTAAGGTAAACAAATGGTGTTACCTATGATCTCTGATATATGATGACAGCTTTTTACCTTTTAACTTTCAAACCACTTAAATGAATACATTCTTATTACAGTGCTTTATTAACATAATTGTTATTTAAGAATTAAACTGTGACAATGTAACTCAGACCACCAATAGAAGACTTTAGACAAACATATTTTTCTTGGTATTTATTACCACAAAAACAACAATCTGAGCAGTAACATATAACAGGAATACTTTAACTACTCTACATGTCAAACTGTCGTAACGATACACCCAAAATCTCCAGATAGATACATTACTTCAAAGCTACACTATACGGCACACAGTGTTTTAGACGTTTTCAATATTTAATCGGGGATTCGCGAGCTTGTCAGAAACACATTCATTACTCAACAACAGCTTTTGTTTTGTTGTGCATTTACATTGTGCTTCAATCTCAGCTTGAGTGTGAACAGCACACATTTCCTTACCTGTGCTTACATGTTCTTTTCTTTGTATTGTGAACAAATACTGAGTATATGTACTGTATGCATACACAATGAACAAACACAGCGCAATAACTGCTGGCTGCATCGACTGCTTGAAAAATTCAAATGTGCCGTAACATCAGCAAGCAAAACCCTGGCAAAACATTCACTAACATCAATAAGAAAAATAAACAGTCACCAAGTTATACACACAAAACATATATTCAGCCTGTTGACGAGGAAAAACCGAATTTGACATGCTCTCTGGATTTTAAGTAGAAAGGAAACTTTGATAGAAGATTTGATAAACTGCATGGTCAATTCATTTTAGCAATGCAAAAGCACTAACAAACACCCCACAGTAACATGTCCCTGATTGGGAGTTTGGTTTTAATATTTAAAGTGGCTGTTGAAAATAATTAGGCTTTTCTCTGCAATTAATTTGCATAAAGAAGCTTTTAATGTTCAAAGAAAGGTAAATACCCCCAATATTATTATCTTATCATTACGAGAGATGGAGACCAAGCACACATATTTTTCTGGCCAATTTTGAACTTTAAAAAAACGAATAAAAAAAACAAAACCATTCAAAATGTATCAACATACAGTCATAATGGAACCAAGCCTTCAATCTCCTGTTTCCACCCTTGAAATTAGGTGTTAACATTCACAGATATATAACTTACAATATCATAAAAATATCACAGCATTTTATTTCTAATGTATTCCCTAGGTAAATTATGTTATTTTACTCTACAGTGAATACACAGGTACAATCTGAAATTCACTCCACAGATACTGATGAGTCACAAAACCAGCTATAAAGGTGTTTTCAACCCTCAGGTTAAAGATGTATCATTATTCAAACTTTAACTAATCGATATTTTTGTTGCCAACACGAATGATGTTCTTATATGTTCAAAATGTGTATCTTTAAGCCATAGATATTCATCACATTACAACATTCTCCTCAACAAGGGAGCATAGAGCCAAAGCTGAGCTGAAACAGCAATGAACAAAGACCCTCCACTTCAATAAATCCTCTCCACGAGCTCCCTGAAATTGGGCTCCTTCTTTCCTCTTTAAAAGTGTTCATCTTGAAAGGGTGCCATGCTTCGCCTCCATACCCCTTTCAGTTCTGACCTTTTATTTCATAATCGGGAAGGGTTTCAAAGCATCAAACACGAGCACTGTGCCTGTGGTTGCCTGTTGTCGATAAAACTTCCATTTGTGCCTCTGCTTGCAGAGCACCATGCTGAAAGCAGCCTCAATGCCTCTCTGTGGGCACCTCACTGTAGCTACACCAGGCCGGTCTGCACGTGCACTTGTAGCGGATAGGGGTGGTAGACGAGGGGGGGCTGGGCCTGGGTGATGAAGTAGCTGCTGTAAATGGGCTCGGCCATGTACGGAGCTGGCTGGTAGAAGCAGGTGACGTTGGCAGTGTTGGGAATGGCGTTCTGTTCGCCCAGCACCCTGAGAGCCAGGACTGTGATCATGTTGAGGGTCTGCCTCCTCTCGTGTCCCATCAAACACACCGTGCTCTGGTCTATGACTCGCCGCAGGGTCATCAGGTAGTCGTACTTGCTCGTCTCCTCGTTGCCAATAAAATGGCATTGCAGGTAGGCCTCGATCTTTCGCTGCTGCTCGCTCACGTCGGGAAAGTCAATGAAGAAGCGGGAGCACATGTATCGCTCCAAGGACTTGATCTCAGTCTCGCTGGTTGGACGGAAGTTCCTAACCAGCAGGTTGCTGTATTTCAGCAGGCCCCCTCCTCGGATCTCCTCTGGTTTGTGGGTGGCGATGAGGCGGAGGCGGAGGTGGTCCATCGCCTGGTCAAAGTCTCCATACATGCACTCCGCTTCGACAGTGATAGTAGACTCCCCGGCTGCACCAATCCATGAACCCGCCCCGCCCCGGTTCTGTACAGCTTCTGGGGTTTGATCATTGATCTGAGGCTGTCCATATGTGTGGCTTTGAGTCTCTAAATCAGGAGGCTTCCTCGAGTGTTTTGGCTTTACAGTTTGTTCCACAGTTTCATTGGAGCCAGTCCCATCCTGAAGTGTACTTACTGGACCGCATGTGGGAGATGAAAGGGTTTGTAAAGCCTCTGACTTGGGGGTCAGAACATTTGAGCCATGAACTTGAGCGCTGTCCAGTAAAGAAGGCTTTCGCTGAAGAGGTTTGGGTATCTCTATGGGGGGAAACAGCGGAGTTGTAAGATCTGACAAATCAGTCAGTAAAGACCAATTCTCTGGCTTACTGATCAACTTCCTCGACATTTTCCTTTGTAATTTTGGTGAAGGGCAATAGTCGGGTACAATATTCTGTGATGTGCTGCAAGTTTTCTTAGCAGGAGGAGGAAAGGAAAATTCAAGAAGTGAATCTTGTGGGGAGTCGACTTTGAACTGAGTAGGTTCCACGCAATGGACTTCCTGCAGAGCTGACTTTTCTGCTGTTGGAGGAGCTTGTGACGCAGACAGCTCTCCATAACTCTGCAGATTTAAACATGCATGTGTCATCAGCGGATCCCTGGCAACCGGTAATAACGTTTCAGCGGCTAAAAGTAAAGGATAATCACTGTGAAACTGACCTTTCTCTTCTCCTTTTCCTTCACATATCTCAAACACAATTTCTTCTGCTGAATGAACGTCTTTGACCCCATCCACGTCTTTCTGCGGTAAGTTAGCGCTCGTGGAATCCAGCACCTCCTGCTGCTTTTCAACCACACGCTCAACCTTTGCACCTGGAAGCTCTTCCTCAAGCACAGGAATGGTCTCATCCTGAGATTGGTTTTCTCCATTGGAGTCTTTTTCAACATCAGGTTCAACTTCTCGAGGAACACTTGATTGCTCTTGCTTTTTCTTTTCATCCTCATTGTGTCTTTTAGACAAATTCCCAGCATTCAATGCCAACTTCCCTACTTGTTTCCTTTCTGTCTCCCAGTAAGACTCCAGCATGCGGTCTAATATGATCTGGAAGGAGTCCACGCTGAACTCGAACTGTCTTCTAAGGGAGCTGACGAAGCGGAGCCCTACGGTTTTAGATCTATTGTTCGAAAGCGAGATTAGGCTCCATCTGTCATGGTCGTTGAAAACTTTCACCATCTTTTGCACGTAGGCCTCCTTCATCGTCAGGCATGTGATCTTCCGTCTGTTAACGCCACAGGGGAGGAGGTCTCGTAGGGTGCCCAGCACCACCTCCTTTATCACCTGAAGGTCCCCCTCCCTGGGCAGCTCCACTCCAAAAATGATGTCTAAATCTCGGTAGCCGAGGCAGTTATCCCTCACCAGGACGTAGCTGGCCGTCGCGCCGTTGAGCCGTATATCTCTCACCTGGATGTCTCTTTCCACCAGCCGATCCTTAACCACACGGATGATGTCTTTCGCTCTCACCTGCAGTGTGGGGAAGTTTCCTCGTCCATGGATGGGGATAACCTCAGTCAAGACTTTGTCCAGAGCTTGCATTTGCTCAAGGGTCAAGTTGTGGAACCTCTTCTCTGTTGGAAGCTCCATCATCCTCACCTGTAAAATAGAGGTCTGACATATGTATCACATTATAAGGAATGAGTGTCAATGAAAGATTGAGGCAGTACAACAGAGTAGACAGCATATTATTTGAAATACTTTTTTTTCTTAGAATAACTAAATCTACTGGACAATACAGTATGCCCTTTTCAAAGGAAAATGTGCACATAAAATATATTTGTTTGGACATGTTTATCATCTTAACACCCCGTCTACATCCTTTTCCTTTATCATTTGTTTTCATTTATTTGTAAGCCTGAAAGTCTGGACTTCACTAATCTAACATTTGGTATTTTGTTTTCCCCTACTACTAAGAATTTAAATGCACAATTGCAGTCAAACTAATAAGTTAACTGCACTGAGGCATTTTGTTAGACATGATTTGACCATACTTTTTCTCTGATAGCATTTTGTGCAAAATGTAATGTGACATTGTTTATCAGCCAGGTATGAATTATAGTCAATGCTCCAATTTAGCAACAAAGGTAACAACAAAAAGCTGGATTAAGCAGTATTTTATTGCATTATTTGGCAAAGATTAGATATTTTGAATTAGCTTTTATATTTCAGATTATATATCATAATATTTCATCTTGTTGTATTTCAAGTTGTCTGAGAGAAAATAGCGCATGGATGAGATCTGTATTTTTTTATTCTGGAATTATTTTTTTCATTATCCATAAAACTGGTACCACTTGAAGTTCAATATTCTAAAAGGCTATAATGGAATGTTTGCATGATGACAACAAATAAATACTGCCTACCCGCCTTTAATATGTGCCGTGCAGACTGGGTTATTCTACCACCAGATGGCAACAGCATTATAACAAATGGCAAAGTCATCTGAATGGCACAGTAATCGCTTTATCATGCTTTTAGTGATGCACTGAATCTTTTCAATTCCCCATGTTGTACTTCTCTGTGCACAAGGTCGTAACAAGCAACAGGTTGCAAAAGTAAAAGTAAAATGAAAATAAACATGTTCTCACATTTATTTCCTATTCCTAATATACTTTAAAATGGTTGTCATGATAACAGATATTTGCTTCAAGCTATTTAGTGCAGACAACACACTTGTAAGATGTGAATAGTTTAAATAACGACCCCATGCAGTGGGAGTTTTAGTTATTTTCTGATTTTGATCAAATACATTCAAGTTGTACTATGAACGTCATCAGATGTTTGTCACGCGATTTGATGCTCACAGTAGATTCAGTGTGACTCACCCGTGTGTTATTCACTAGCTTGCAGCTGCAGGAAAATCTGGTTGATGGATCTATAATCGGCAGACAGGCTGGACTTGTGTGTGTTTTTATTGTCTGTATAAACATGTTCATCTGAAGAAGGAGTCCTGCTGAATCTAAACTTGGTATACCAAACAAGCCATATACAGCTGTTCTACACTAGACATATTGATTCTAATAAAAAGTGATGTGCTTATCCCTGCTGTTTTTAAAGTGACAACATTGTAATGTATTTGTTAAAGGGAAAAGGGTCTAAATTGTACGCTGACTCACTGATGAGGCAAATGTTTTAGTGTATTGCGGCTATAAACGACCTTCACACTCTAACGTTTTTATGACAACATAGGGATCATTTAGGGATCCACAGGGTGTTTTGAAAGATAAAAGATCTCATCCTGCCTATATTGCGTTCAATCAAATAAAATGAACGTGTTATTAGCTTAACACCTTAACACTTAACAGCTTAACACATTATTATTAGCTTTTAATCATGTACTTTCAGATTTGTTTTGTGCATTTTATTTAAAGGTGAAGGAAATTAAGCTTAGACATTTCTTATTAGTTTTTTAAAATTGTGTCAATTACATATTTGCCATTTATTGGGTTATTCCGTTATTGCTACACTCTAGCAAATCCAATTCAGGTCAAATGTATATGACCTCTATTGTTTGGGCAAAGGTAGGTGAATCTGTGCTATTTTAGAAAGCTTGACAGAAAACTTGAAAATGCACTTTGAGGTCATCTGATATATGTTGCTCTCATGACACCTAGGATTTTATTTTACTTATATTGTGTTAAGATTATTAAATTACAAATGTGAATTATGCATTTCAAAAAGCTTGTTAGATATCACTACTTGAATTGGTACCAAGTATGTGCCAATTGTAATGTATTGTATATGATCAAAAATTATAATTGACCATATACTCAACTTAAGTAAACTATAATGTTATTTTTTTATAATTATAGTAATTTTCTTACATTATTTGAATTTGTGTACTTCTTATTTATTGTTTTTGATAATGATAATGATATGCTATTAGATAAATGAAATTAATGTAGTTTAATACTAACAAAAAAATCTGTTTATCTCAGTGAAAAATAGCTAACCCTGTTGAATATAATTTGTACAGTTTTCAAGCTGTCCTGGTCAAATAATCTGATGTACTTTAAACAGCACTGGATCATCTGCTGAGTGCAGAGTGTGTGACACTACAGCCTGTGTTAGTATCATGAGTGTAAAGGTGTCAGACAGTAGCTCGGGGCACAAACAAGACCCACAGCAGCATCTAGTGAATCTGGGGGGTTACATCAGCTCGGTCCTGCAGCAGCACTGCTGCTCCTATGCCACTTGGCTTCTTTTTAGATAAGAATATATGAGTCATACAGCTCTGAATGAAGCATCACTGCCTGGCTCTCCTGGGTTAGGCTATTTCCCTGTGCGCAATAAAGAAACGACACAAAATGCACCACTTGACAAACAGGGAGGACATTCACTAAATATATAGAAGTCTGGAGGGTGGAATAAAGCATATTACATACTATATTATTTAGCTTAAATACATTGTCGTGATCTGGAGGTATAGGCCTATACTTTGGTGGATATTTTAACAATATTTTGCACAGGCCACTTTTGTTTTTTGGTGTTTAAACTCGAAATGTATCAATGACTATTTAGTTCAAAATGAGCCCCTCGTCGCTATTTAGTGGTGCATTAATATTTGTTGCAATATGGACACAGGTCACAAGTTGGCATTCAGCTTAAGCAACTGCACAGGCTAATATTTAACAAAATAACAACAACGTTAACTGCGTTTCACCAGAATTAGATAACAATACAACAGCTGCACAAGCAGCACAACACTTAAAAACTCACCTGTTTCGTTGCCAAATTAAAATAGAAAGTAAAGCCAGGGTAGCAATAGAAGGAAAACACAGATATATCCAACAGGTTTATCCGACCCTCTGAAAGGTTGCTGCTGAAGTTAACACGGACAGTTTCCTCTCAGCGCACCGCTGTTTCCATGGCAATCAGGCGTCACGAAATGTACGGTAAAGCACGACGCTCGGTCTCAAGTGACAGCCACTTAAGTTTCAAGCAAACGAGGTATCATAGGGCCGCCTAAAAGCATATTAACAGTTTGCTAAACTTGTATTGGTGCAGCAACAACGAGGTGTCAAGCTGAACTACCGGCGTGCCACCGCACTGCTGAGCTGTTGCGAGGTGAACATCACATCAGACGTGGGTGAGTCATCCTCTCTCCGTGATCCACACCATACATCTAATCATCAATCAACCGCTTCACCACCCACTCCTCCGCCGGTACAAGGCAACAGCCAGTTACTTTTATCCGACTGTAAACAAAACCTACAATAAAAACTGAATTAAAACACGGAGAATATGGTATTTTAATGTTAAAATGTAAGGTGTTTGTTTTTTTTCATTCACGTTTTGAGAGGAGGCGGGGGACAGCTCTCCCATGACGTCGTATGGAATACCGTGACCACGTGACGCTGACGTCATTCATATTTTGGTAAGACATCAGGAAGTGCAAAAGAAGGCGAAGACCGATACCAGAAAGGCTGAAGTTTCAGTGCCTAGTTTAGCTTTGTTTAGCTTGTTTTTTTGGACACAGTCCGTACGGTCTTATTGTTGGTTCGCTAAGAATCGAGTCAAGATGTCGAAATTGGAAAGTATCCTTTTAAAACAGCGATGAGGAGGGGACGTAAGACTGGTGTAACGTCAAAATAGAGACCGAACATAACAACATGACGGTGAGATTTATGCGGGTCAGACATCTGAAACATGATTTGTCCTGTTAGACATTCGCCAAATACACAAAGGCTGCCATAGTGAATAACCTTACCATTTCCTAGTTTCAGGCGTGGTAAGTAGGACACAAGTGGATCGAAGGCCTCGGAAGCTCCATTGCTAACGGTTGGAAATATCAAACAACCGACTATTGGTGGTTCACAATTTAGGTCAGGGTATTTTTAATACTCAAAATAATAAAACAGATAACTCTGTACGCGCCTATGTCTTATTGCTGTACATGTTCTATCAGAAAGTATTGTTTTAATCGTCTCTTATTTAGCATTAAACATACATCAAATAAATAGCAAACTTAGTTACATAACCTGTACTTTACACTCTATACTTATTTAGTCAAGAGAATAATTTTGCTAAATGTTAAATGTCAGACACAATTCTAAATACTTTTTTTATGTTGAGGAAATAGAGTAGAGACATATATAGATAGATGAATAGGCCAGACTTGTTTGTCCAGACCTCCCACTGTGAGGTCTATTAAAGGTTGTTTGTTGTGCTTGTTTGGGTTGTGTTCTTCTTTAACCTCCGATCACAGAACAGCTCTTCAATTTGAAGTTTGCTGCTAAACAACTCCAAAGCAGTTCAAAGAAATGTGACAAAGAGGAAAAAACAGAGAAGCTTAAGGTTAAGAAAGTAAGTTGAACTTCATCAAGATAGTACATTATGAAAGCCTCCCAGCTGGTGTTGACTGCTGTAGATATAACTGAACCGACCTATTCGTGTTGTCTAGGCCATCCAGAAGGGAAATATGGAAGTGGCGAGGATCCACGCAGAAAACGCCATCAGACAGAAGAACCAGTCTCTGAACTTCCTGAGGATGAGCGCGCGGGTAGATGCGGTGGCAGCGAGGGTCCAAACTGCAGTCACAATGAACCAGGTATATTGAATACTTGGTCACTAAATCTTGCTAAATGACCTAAAAGTCCGTTGAATTTTGGAATTTCCGACTTAAGAACCTTGTTTGTTGTTGTTTTAGTGAAAGTGTTTTGTTTTTTCTCAGGTCACAAATTCTATGGCTGGAGTGGTGAAAAGCATGGATTCCGCTCTGAGATCTATGAATCTGGAAAAGGTAAGGTATATTACAGATAAAATAATTGTATCCACTTTAGCAAAAACAATTCAATTGTAATTATAGTTGGTAACAAATTCCTCTCGGTTAAAAAAAAAATCTACTTCAGATTTCATCTCTCATGGACAAATTTGAGCACCAGTTTGAAACTTTGGATGTTCAGACCGCCCATATGGAAGACGCCATGAGTAGCACAACAACACTCACAACTCCACAGGTACATTTTAATGCCCTCCTCTTATATCATTTGTTCTTTGTGTGTAAAGACAAACTCATTCCCTGCTAATCTAATGTGTGTTTTCAGAATCAAGTGGAGGGGTTGATGCATCAACTGGCTGATGAAGCAGGGTAAGCTTTCATTCTGTGTCTCAACATTCTTTGTGAAATGATGTTAAATAACATAAATAGATGTATGATATGCATTCTTAGAGTACTGGAAGCTTAAATAGTGAAATGTTGTAGTCTGTATTATATGAGCATTGTGTTTGTTATTTGAAAATAAGATTTGAATGTTGGTTTATTCATCATGTTTAGATTGGACCTGAACATGGAGCTCCCTCAGGGACAGACAGGATCCGTGGGTTCCAGCGTGGCCTCTGCAGAACAGGTAAACATGTGTTTTATAACATTTTATATCTGGGTCGAATAAACTGAACTATACTTCAAAAAATTCAACTTAAGCCAGGCTGTTTGAATTTTTAAGCAACTTTAAGCCACATTTGATTGATACATTTTTGGGTCTTAACCGTTTTCAACCAAAAGCGAAAGAAAGATTTTAGTCATTGCACGTGTAGATCCTATGTTTTTTTAGAGAAACAAGCGTAGCAAAATTAAGCAGTAGATCTGCTCGCAGCCACTTCGGGGCGTCCATTGTCCGCCAAACGGCATTGAAGGAACAGTGTTTTTTGATGGTAAGCTTCTTTTAGTCATTTTAATCATCGGGTAAGCTTGTTTTGGAGGGGAGGATGAACCATGAAGCGATACACACTGGGACAAAGTGAGTGCAATGACAGTAGTGGTGATGAAGGCAACCATTTCCATTATGCCACGCTACTTCACGATGCCACCAAACTCCAGCGCCCAAATCTCTGCCAATGATACTTTCTATTTGTCCATAAATACTTTAAAAATGCAGTATTTGCAAAGACTTAAACAGAATGGGTTCTCCAAACTATGCTTTTCTTCCTCACTAATGTCTGTCTTTGCTCTCTCTTGTTCAAAGGACGAACTTTCTCAAAGGCTCGCCAAACTCCGCGATCAAATGTGAAGAGCGACTGCTCCAGAACACTACCTGAATATTTCTCCCAAAAACCTTTTTACTTACATCGTTCATATTCTCCTTCTTCATCTCTTGTGTCTCTGTCGAGGAGCTACTGCATCATTTTTTCTTTCCTCACATAATGAATCTGGTTGACTGTGTTAATAATAACCTTTGGCCTCTGTAGACTCAGAGGTGCTAGATTTGGAAAATGTATACATTTCTTAAATATATTATTTTCCAAAAAGTAAGATCTAATGTGGCTTTATTGTTTAACATGTATACTCAAGAACAACTTACATTTTTCAAATATGGAGCGTGACAGTCGTTACCCTGTATTTATTGGCATATTTCATATACTTTTGGTGCATAAGCTGAAGGTTTGGGGTTATACAATTCAACTTGTTGTTAATAAGCGCATGATTGCGGAACCGTATAAGCATTTTTCTCTTCGTGTGAAAGACCTTCTTGCTTACTGGTGAACTGAATTCTTCTTTAGATTTGTTGAAATGTAATTCTGAGGATTATACTTTAGAAGATATTGGATGAAAAACCCGTGTTGGTGAACTTCAGTATTTTCACTGATCATTTGGTAAGCGGTTACAGTTTGGATATTATACAGTTAGCAACAATAAAGTTTTATAATACTTTTATCTTTTTGCCGTTTGAATACATTGATTTACCATTTCTATTCATTGCATTTACTTTACCAATATATCTATTGCGAAGGGTCAATATTGAAATTGAACTACAAAACCATATGCTTTATATAATTGGCAAAAATTGTAATGTGCTTTGCTTTTATGATAAAGTATTAGCTCTACAACTATCGCGGGGTGAAATGCAAACAAATGGTGTAGTTTCAACATTACGTAGGTGCCAATATTTGTAGACAAACACATGCCTAATCTAACTAATGAATATTCTTAGTGTACATCCAATACTAAGCATTCAAAATATATATTTTGAGATATTCAGTGCAAAAAAAGACAATGGTGCATAATATTAATATGTAATATAATCATATACAAGATGACAACAAGTCTCAGGTGTGAGAAAAGTGGCTCTCATGCGTATATTTTTGGCCATCGCCCCTCAACCAAAAGGAGACAAGTGGTCCAAATGAGCTGCTCTCTGTGTTTGCCCTCTGTCTGCTGCCGCAGTGTCCCTCTTGGTAATCAAATGTCTCCTCAAGGAGAAGTCCTTCAATCCATTTAATAAAAACTTCTGCTCCACTGCATGCAGATGAAGAAATGAACTGTACAACTCAATTTCTCTGTAATCTTGAATCTATGTTCAGTAAGATACTATTATGTTATTTGCGTGTGTTGTAACTATGGTATCGAGTGCATGAATACAAACAATTAAATTAGTTAAGGAGAGGATAAACAAGATAAAATATATTAGAAATACAACAGGGAACATAGCTAGCGAGCATGCTCCCCCCTCTAAAGGTCCGGTTTATTTCATTTTAAGGATGCGCACCAAGCAACATCTCCAGGTGCTCCTTTGAGAACCAGGGCAAAAAAGTTATGTGCACCCCTGTTTATGTGTGTCAGATGCAGAGCCCTAGAGAGATAATAGAGATTATCTCTCTAGGGCTCTGGTCAGATGTAGTGAGAACCGAGAACACTAGTGCGCATGTGCAGCAGGGCTGTATGCTTTAACCATGGACTGTTTATAATGATATACCAGTGTACAGTATTGCCCTCTAGTGGGCACTGTGAGGAACTGCAACACAACTCGTGTATAATTAGAGTTAATATCTGTCTCTTTATTAGTATCGCTGTTTTAACGTAGCGTTGGTGTGGTTCTACAAATGATGAGTTTTTTTTGTTTTTTGCACAGGTTTCTATCCCGGAAATCATCTAAACGTGTCGATTGTTCACATGTTATTTAAATAAAATGCAGTATAAGGATCATTTACAATAATATCAATGTGGTTGAGTGTGTGTGTGTGTGTGTGTGCCCCTCCTTTTTGGAGAAAACGGATTTGGAAATGGACCAAAGACCTCTGGGCAGAAAGCGTATCATCATGTGACTCTGACGTAAGCAGGAAGCAGCTGATCTGCCTTCACTGCCTTCTTCTAGTACCAAGTAATGTATACAACTGTACTCCTGATCTCAAATACTTAGTCATCTGCAATAGATTGTTTTTTAAGTAAACGTTCTACCCTGTCGTGGTAAGTAGACTTTACACTTATGTGCTTAACTTAGCTAGCTAGCTGTTTAGCTCGGGTAACCAAACTCCCATTTAACTGGACTGTTTGTCGTGCTAGCTAACTTAGCATTAGCTTAAGTGTTTTTCCGGAACAGAGAAAATAGTTTTAAGTCTGTTAACTGTTTATACATAATTGTGTGTGTATTAAGCTCATGACTGGTGACACGTGTTCGTTATGTAAGCCTTTAAACGTGTCCTCTGTACTTTTATTGGTGTTCTGCTTCAGTAGAGCTGACAATAGGTGACAGCTAAGTGAAACATTTTTGTGTTTTCTGCAGCTACAGGAGATCTGCTGCAGTCTCTTAAGTCATCAGACTTAAAGCCCAGATAAATACTTTACTCTGCCTGGTGAGAAGGATGTCAAGCACAGCCATGAAGAAAAAGGTGAAGTATGGGCTCATCGGTGACTTTGTTGTATCACAAATAGTGGTGGAATACACAAGTACAATATTGAGTAGTACTTGTTTACAATAGGTTATACTGATACTTGTTTACAGTAGTACAATGATTGCCATAAAATAGCCATAAAAGCTGTAGCAATAGCTAACATAATGGAAAATGCACATATTGCTATGTAATATTTGTAACCTTAGTAAACATTAAGTCAAAGTATATAATTTAGTTTAAATAATATACAGGTTTTTGGGTGTCCAAAATGTCATATACTGATAACATGTGAGTCACAAATGATCAGTTAAAATAATATGATGTACCTATATGTGCTTACAGGTGATTGCCACAATTATAACATATTCTATAACACATAGTTGTGAGCAAGCTCTCTGATTGGTCAATAGGCGTGTTTGATTCCACGATCAAAGAACGGTCAAATAGAACGTGCCTTTTCACAACAAGTCAGTATCCCTCCGCGTCTGAGAAAAACGGTATACCCTTGGCCATACACTTTCGAACTGGAACAAGAAAGCAGCGGAGAAGTAACGGGGCAGAAACCCTCCTTTTTACGTTACGAAACAAACTTCCAAACATAATATGGAAACATTTAAGATTAACTTCAACCTCCGGGGGGGGTCTTACTGTGGAGGACTGGATTGAGGAGTGCCTAGAAAAAAAAGCACCTAAACGACAACATGCAGAGCTACGTGAAGAGCAGGTAGACCAACTGGAAAAGTACCACAATTCAAAAGCTAACTGCAAACTGGAACAAGAAAGCAGCGGAGAAGTAGTGGTTTCCATAGCGACACACAGCCGTTATATTGTTACATTGTCTCTCGTTGGAAAATCGTTAGCTACAAAATGTCAGATTTTATAGTTATCATCTGGACAACAGAAAAATGTGGAGCAACGCGCTTTTTGCCGGTCCGGGACACGCCAAACGGCCACTGGAGGAAAGCTCTTCCGTGAACACCACAGCACCAACTGCAAAAAAGTCTGGCATGGAGTTCATGAGTTGTTTAAAAAATTGCACGTTTAATGGCAGCATGAACATCCACCTTCATTCTGAAGCCAAAATGTTAAATATGTAAATAAATAAATAAATAGCCTAATTCAAGAATTGTTGTCAATAAATTGTTTTCAATAAATTGGTTAATAATATATTATTTACTATAATTATATCAATAACTGTAAACGGGGAAGCAGGAGTGTTCGATTGATCGGCTCTCGTTACCAAGGGAACTACTTTATAGGAACTACTTTCTGACGGAGATTAACTCAAGCAGAAAGTGAAGGTTTGGGAGCAAATTAGCCCACATTATGAAATTATTTTACGATATTGTTGATTACAATGATAGTTTGTGTTATAGAATCGCAATCATACACTTGAGGCCGTTCTTTAACGTCATTATTGGTACGCCTGTACTGGAGTACCAATAATGACGTTAAAGAACGGCCTTAAGTGTATGATTGCTTAAATATAAAATGACACTGACTGGGGTAATTCTGCTGCATCATGAGTACTTTCACTTTTGATACTTCAAGTTGCACAGAATACTTAACTTATTTTGACAAAGGTTTTTTTACATTGTGATACTACAAGTGCTACATTTATTGAAGTGACATGTCTGGATATTCTACCTCTGGTCATAGGCAAGGCAAGTTTATTTATATAGCACTTTTCAACACAAGGCAATTCAAAGTGCTTTACAAAAAATGAAAGACATTAAGAAAATGGCATTTAAAATCAGTCATTAAAAAGAAAAGCTAATAAAATAAACATGAAAGAAAAAATACATGGATAAAAGTTACAGTGCAGTCTAAGATATGAATAGTTCAATACGCCTATAAGAGAGGATAGAAAAGGATTTAATTTCAGTGATCTGATCGAATCGGTTGCATTTGTGCTTTCAGGTGTTACTGATGGGGAAAAGTGGTTCCGGGAAGACGAGTATGAGATCCATCATATTTGCAAATTACATAGCTCGAGATACACGCCGCCTCGGAGCTACAAGTAAGTGTACTTTGAAGAAAGGCGACAGCTGAAATAAGTTAAATGTTTTTTTGATCTCATTTATTAAACTATTTTTTCTCCCTCTGTGAATATAGTTGACGTGGAGCACTCCCATGTACGGTTTCTTGGCAATCTGGTTTTGAACCTTTGGGACTGTGGAGGGTAAAGCACCTTTGTGAATTATTTGCCCTCTTTTAGACCAGTTTCAACTCTTTTAAGTGTTTTCTCTGACCTGAAACCCTCTGTGAATCCCAACAGACAGGACACATTCATGGAGAACTACTTCACCAGCCAGAGAGACAACATCTTCAGAAATGTAGAGGTGCTTATTTATGTTTTTGACGTGGAGAGCCGTGAGCTGGAGAAAGACATGCACTACTACCAGTCGTGTCTGGAAGCCATCCTGCAAAACTCCCCCGACGCTAAAGTGTTCTGCCTCGTCCACAAAATGGATCTGGTACAGGAAGACCAGAGAGATCTGGTAAGCTTACTGATTTAGATGTATTATAATACTGGTGTAAACATGTTTGTTGTCTCACACAGAAGCAAGTAAACATGACGGCGAGTGGTAGAACATTATTCAAGTAATTTTTACATGAAAATAAGGTGACGATAAACTATTTTATAATTTTTTTTTTTTACTCTATCCTTAATAACACAATCAAATCATTACTTTGACATTATCAGCCAGCCTCTTACAAAAAAGGGAATATACATGTACTTTGTTAAATTGTATATAATTTAGCTAACATCTCAACATTTACGTCATATTATTATGTTTAGAATACGCAGAACCATTTAAGATACAACATCAGCAGGCTATCCGTAATCTTGGTCATCTCTTTTGTTAGTATCAGTAATATTACAATGTATTTCCCTATTCTACCTTCAAATAAATATAAAAATGATCAAGGTGTGATTATTTTGAAGATATTTACCAAACAAATTATTAAGTCTGTAAAATACAATTTGCAGGCTGGGAAAGGTAAAATCATACGATCTTATCCATATTAAGATTTCAATACATTTCAGTTCAGACCTAATTAGACCCTCCAGAAAAACGCGGGCTAAAATCCTTGATTATGCGATTAAACATGCAGGGTTTTTATGTGATGTTATGCAGTGAAATTGCGGAAAGTTGCGAAATATGCGTAAATAAAAAAAATGTTTATATTGGGCTGTCTTATTTATTCTCTCTCACACACAACCTGCCACTAACGGTAAACCCCTTTACTATTCAATTAAACACATTCAATGTTTATTTATTGTAAAAGCAATTGGGCTATTTTAATCACACTCTCACAAACTTCTCCGCCTCATTCTGGTTTCATTTACTCGTTCGTTATCTGACCAGCTTCAATCTTGTAGGCTACTCACCTCGTTTCTTGTAGCCCTCAAAAGGGTTTTGGAGGTTGATGCCTCAGTGAACGTGAGTTGTTTGGCTTTCTTGTCCGGAGCTACGGTGGCCGGCAGGTGCAAACGCGGAACAACGGCCCAAAACGCATACATTAGCAGGAAACACCTGCAAATAATTAAATGAAAAACAAACAAACCCTGAAAACAAATACAACAGAAAAACGCTGCATTTACAGAAATGATACAAACTAAATACAACACACAAACCCCGAGAACAAACGCAACAAAAAAACGCTGCACGATATGCAAAGTCTAAAGCACATACAAATCCCAAAACACATACAAAAAAACCATTCCGGAAGACCTCTAGGGGGGCGCGCTACGTGGAACAGATTGATGTCTGACCAGACATAGAGAGAACGAACAAGAGTGACGGAAATCGGGAGGAAATAAAGTTCATTGGAGTGAAGAAGGTACGTTTTGAAAAAGGACATTTTAATTCTTAGCAGTTTGTTTATATGTATGTATTTGTGTATAGATGTTGCAACTATACATAGCTTTAGCAATTGCCTGTAACTATGGTCATGCTAATAAAGCTATTGAATTGAATTGAGAGAGAAAGAGAAGTGACAACATGTGAAGAGGGACAAAGTAATGACAGGAGAGTAGTGTGCATTAGACATGCTCAAGAACAAATATATAGAAGACATTCAAGGAGAGAGAGACAAAACACAGATTCAACGGTAAACATGATGTATCTTTCTATTTATTTAGCTAATCACTATTTAGACTGTGTTTTTGATTGACTTGATTAAATGGATTTACTACATCAATGTATGTCTTTTCAAGCTGCCATGTTTTGTCCTTTCTGTGACCAACATCTGGGGAGTGTTCTGTGGCTCCTGTGGCAAACATGTACAGTTTTTGGCAGAAGTTTTTTTTGTATCTGTTTCAAATGCAAGAAATAAGGATTCAACACACTACTCTGTTTAGAATACTAATTGGCAGATGCATACACTAGTTATCAGCATGAAGGACACATTTTTTCATTGTCTGTTTATGTGAAATATGTAGAAGCCGTCATTAAATTGTAGACCAATGCATGATTAAATGTACAAAACATGTGTATTATATTATACATTCATAATTGTGTATTAGTTCTATCTTTATAGAGAACATTATACATTTAGAATCAGATTTTGAGACAGTGAGCGGCTGGGAAAGTCACACAAACAGTTGCTGACGTGATGTTTTCTTCGCATTCTCAGGCATTCCATAAGGAGGGCCAGGAACTCACGCTTGGGACCACCAGTGTCCACTCCATCCTCAGTGTGTCCCTCATCATCAGTGAACTTAACTGACATCTCATGAGAGGGATCGAATGAGGCACCTTTGAAGCCGCGGATTGCTCCATCCCACACATTGGCTCTATTAATATTGAACCTGCTGCAAGATGTATTTGTTATTTTTGCAGAGTTCTGCAACAATGTGTGCCACAGTCAGGTATTCTGTGCTGGGAAAGACAAAGTGATGTACTGTAATATTAAATGATGAAGCTATAATAAGATTTGCAGTATAGAATAGAAAAATTAAGTGGTAATAGTAGCAATGAATACCTTTGCTCCATTTTGTCTTCTGGCTCAGACTGGCTATCAATAATAAGTGCATACACATTTGTGTAGTTGCTGCAGTGAGAAGACAGTTGAATAATTATTTTCAAATACATAATATATGCATGACAGTCATATTTACAAAAGGATGTCGATCCTCTTCCTGTTTTTTTTCCAATACATTGGGTTCTAAACTGACAACAGTACTTTTGTCATACTCCTGCACAATCCTTGTAAACATTTGAAATGGATGCAAGAAACAATATCTGATCTTTGAAAAATATTTGTGGGTGTTTTTTGTATCGTCTTCACTAAGATGTTGTGGGTGTCATTTGGAAATGTATGAAAGTATAATTGTTCTGCTTCCTGGCAATGTTACCCACTGTGATTGGAGGCTATACAAACAAACAAATGTAAAAATAAAGATACACACCACACAACTGAGGTTACCTACTGTAACCCCAGCTTCTATGAGTAAATGGATTCGCCCTCTAAGGCTATCGCTATTGGGTAATCCCCCTGCGCCCCCACGCAGCACTGAAACACTTGTAGTACACGCCCACCGCGGGCTTCCTTCCGGTATAAATAGGAAGGAGGACCGAAAATCTGCTCCCATACAACATAACTTTTCTTCAGCTATTCGCAGAGCCAGTGGGGCCCATCACTTAGAGGGCTGCGCCATTTACTCATAGAAGCTGGGGTTACAGTAGGTAACCTCAGTTATATTTCGTATATGGCTTCGCCCTCTAAGGCTATCGCTATTGGGTTAAGGGCGAATCATGATGTAGTCTGCACCCCACTGGGTCCGCCCGGCACTAGAAGCACAGACATACCTGCTCAATAACATCCCATGCCTGTTGTGCCATGCGTAATGGCGCATCACCGTCCCTGGAACATAGCAAAACATGCCTATCTTCCCTGACGGGGTGAAGGCTGGGAACAATACATACCAGCCGCTGTGAGAAAGTAGAGACGAAGGTCCCACCTTGCCCAGCGATCATAGAGGGGAAAAAGCAGCTCTCTGTGTGTCAGACAGGTAGGAGAGCACCCAGCTGGATCCCTGATGTCACTCACTCTGACCAGGCACTCAGTACAAAGTGTGTCAGAGGAAAAAGGAACATCCCTCCTATAAGAGGGAAAAAGGGCCGCTCTCCGCGTGCCGAGAGGCAGGAGAGAGGCGCACAGCTGGCTCCCTGACGTCACTCACTCCGACAGTACACCCAGTACAGGGTGTCCTGACGTCACTCACTCCAACAGGACACCCAGTACAGGGTGTGTCAGAGAGGAATGGGAGACATCCCTCAAATAAAAATGAATAAATGAACAGGGGGAAGACCAAGATGCAGCAGTGCAAATATCTTCCACTGACATTCCTCCGTGCAAAGCCGTGGAGGAGGAAATTCCTCTGGAGTGCGCATTGATGTTCTCCGGGGGATCCACCCCAGAGGAGACATATGCCTGTGACACAGCCAGTGTGACAGCCGTTTTGCAGACAGAGGTTGCCCGATCGAGCGCTCTCCATAGTGCACAAACAGGTCGCATACAACGGCTGCTGCGTTCTGCGAGCCCCTCTGTTAATTTAGCCGGGAATATACATTGCTCTGATGGAGAGCAACGTGTGTGCGCGCGCCCAGAACAGCAGCCGCCTGGCTGCGTTCAGAAGCTGCGCAGATCGTACTCCTCCCTGGCGATTGAGGTAGGCTGCTTCCATAGCCGTGGCCTGTTGTCTGTGCAAATCAACACATGTTTGATTGTAAAGCAAAGGGGCGACTCCCCCGTTCTTTTCCGAGATTTAGAAAAATAGCGGGGGTAAAAACCGCGCAAGACACTGTTCCTGGGAGGACAGGAGTGTTTCTTGTAGGCCTATCCCATGGAACTGCTGGGGGAGAGGCTTCTCTGTGATGTGCCGTAATGGTCGTCATGGTGACGAGCCACGCCATCGCCGCCCGTGAGGCAAAAGGGCAAAGAGAAAATAGCTATATTTCTGATTGGCTGGGCGTATTGCAAACCACGCCCCGTAAAACTCAAACGTTTTGTGAAGCCGCCATTTTATTATCCTCGCATTAGCATTAGCCCAGCGCAGAAACACAGAGAGACTAACTTATGGCAACACAAAATAAAACATGGGAGTGGTGGAGATGAGGAGGTGTCGGCGTTCTGGCGATTTACTCGGAAGGCTTCAGTAGAAGCTGCTGGGAGTCCCAGCAGCTTCTACTGAAGCCAGTCCCCAACTCCGGGGACTTTGGGCGGCAATATACGCCGTGAAGTGGTTTGCGGCCTGCCAGTAAACCCAAAGCAGAAGAAGAAGAAGTGACGTCAGCGGCTTCATTTGCCTAATCCACCCCCAGGGATTTATTCCGGTGTGAACGCGATCTGTACTTAGTTCATGAGAACTAAAGAGTTCTCATGAACCTTTGTGGGAAAAGTACTGCGGTGTGAATGCGCCTAAGGGGATCATCCCGTGACCAGCTGATGCCAACGCCGAGCAGTTGCGTCACGGAGAGGGCTGTGTGGG